TTAGGCACTGTAATGAACCATTCTGTCATCCCTTCATTTATAGAGAGAGGTTTTGTAAATGTAAGATACAATTTTGACAGAACACCAGGTCCACTGAACCTTGCCAGCTCACATATAATAGATCCTAAATTTATTATGCTTTTGTCAGCTATTGGATTTATCATTTTAATGACACTGTCCACAGACTTATTTTGCTGCCAAAGAATAGCATCACCATACTTCAGGAATGTTTGTTGACATCTTGATCAACAACTCCTGGGGTCCAATTCTGACTATAATATCACTACTTTGGGACCTTGAGCAAGTTATTTAACCTCTGTCAAAGGATTAATTGGTTAATTTTAATAAGTGCTTTACAGTGAAAGGTGGGAAGTGCCATGACTGCTGATAGTGATAATAAAATTATAATGTAGGCTTTTACAATGCATTAAGCTTCTTCAGACTGTGATTCTGTTAAGTTGCCAAGTAAATATAAGTGGCTGAATTTATTCTTTTTAAGAATTCAAACTGCTATGATGATGGCCTCATAGTATTTTTAAAACTTATTTTTTAAAAAAATGAAGATTATTGGATCCTGATTACATACAGCTTTTGTACATTGAATAGATTGTTCTTTTATTATCTTATCTCCAAACAACCCTCATTTGTTTATTTATGATTATTTTTTTTCTCATTTGCTTATCTGAAAAATGCCACTGCTGAATGTAGTCTCAAGGAGGTCATCTGAGACAAGTCAGAATGACACAAATCACAATAATACCAGGTAAAAGTGTATAGAGCCAGAAAGAGGTAAAGAACCAGTGACTTTAAAATTAAGAAGAGAAAGAGATTAATTCAACCTGAGGGCTAATGTGAACAACTTGTAAAAGGAAATGGTGTTTAAGCTGGAAAGAGATATACAGATAGGATTGGGATAGAGGGGTGAAGGTGATAGGAATCCAAAGAAAATGCATTTCAGAGGAAGAGAATAGCATGAGAAAGTCACAATGTCAAGGGAGTTGACATATAAAGAACTATGATCGGTATGGTTTTATTAGAATAAAAAAGAGGATGGAAAGATAGTTTGGATATTGATGACCATTTGCATTATTCAGGATAGTAGTTGGTACTGACCCCATTCAGGACTCTGAGAATAATGGAGCAAGAAAGAAAACTAAGCAAAGCTGTGAGTAGGAAACTGAACTTGTGTTTGAATACTATGAGAGGAGTGAGAGGAGAGAGTCATGAGGACTGAGCCGCATGTGAGTGGGGTTCCATGGACATAAATTGACCGTATTTGCCGACTAAACTCCGATGGCCTGTGATGCGTATAACTGAAGAGGTAAGTTGGGCAAGCAACATGTAAAAGGGCATTGGCTTAGGTTAGTAGCATCTATATTTGCCAAGAAGGGTCTGTCCAAATATGTAGAGAATGTACATATAGAAAAGGAAAGACAAATTTGGAACTGAAGTTACCTCTTTGTTGCTCAAGTAGCCCCCCTGTTGGAACATCAGATGCAAAATATTTGATACTATGACTTATTCTCAAATAAGGTCCATGCATATACTGGTAACTTGATTCTTTGCTGTTCTGTTACTTTCTACAATGACAAGAGACCTAGCCCACTCTCAGTGAGGTCCTCAATGATATCAAACAATACAGAGACCACAAAGTTAAATAACTTTTAAGGGTGTGGTCCCTGGAGGTAGATTGTCTGGGTTTGAATCCTGTCTTTCCCAATTACTAACACTGTCATCTTCAGGAGGCTCTTTATGCCTCCTCAGTCACCTCCTCTGTAAAATGAGAACAAAAGCAATACTGTGTTCATTAGCTAAATTAAATGAATTGATCAATTAATGCAAAAAAAAGTATTATGAGAGTTCCTGGATATAAAAAGTTCCCAGTAAATGTGATTGAGATGAAAAACCATTTTAAAAAAATTGGAAATTTGGATAGAACGTACAACTGGTTTATGTGGCCGCTCTTTTGAAAATAGATACAGAGGGTACAGAGGAAATACATAGAGATCAGTCAGTAATAATCCAGATAAGAGATGCGAGTAGCTTCAATGATGGTAGTGAGAATGAAGGTGATGGAAAGTGTCCAGATTTGGGATTTATTTGAAAGGTAAACGTGAGAATGAAGGTGGAGTATAAAAGAAAGAGGAAAATAAAAAATGACTCCAAGATTCTTGGACTTGGGTGTTTCACTTAATAGACATAAGATAAACTATGGTAGAGGAGTTTTCAGGTGAGAATATCAGGTTAATATAGAAATGAGTCACGCTGTCAAATAGACATTTAAGTATAAAAATCTGCTACTCAAAAGCTAGGTTTAACTGGATACATAAATTTGGAACTATTGATAGTTGGATGGTAAAAAAAAGGCTATGCAATTAGTTGAAATTATCCAGTCAGTGGGTCTCATATTTAAAACATTTGGAAAACTTTAAATAATATAGATGTCCCATTATGGGCAAAGAGAATCAAAATCATAGGTGATGCTTGGGAAACTATATTTTAGCGATCTTCAACCTTCTTCATCTTGTGGCACACATGAACTAATTACTAAAATTCTGTGGCACATCAAAAAATATATTTTTGGCCCTAAGTGGTTTGGCTCAGTGGATAGAGCGTTGGCCTGTGGACTGAAAGGTCCCAGGTTTGATTCCAGTCAAGGGCATGTACCTTGGTTGCGGGCACATCCCCAGTAGGGGGTGTGCAGGATGCAGCTGATTGATGTTTCTCTGTCATCGATGTTTCCAACTCACTATCCCTCTCTCTTCCTCTCTGTAAAAAATCAATAAAATATATTTAAAAAAAAATATATATATATATATATATTGCCCTAGCCAGTTTGGCTCAGTGGATGGAGTGTCAGCATGTGGACTGAAGGGTCCCAAGTTCGATTCTGGTCAAGGGCACATGCCCGGCGGGGGTGGGGGGGGGGGGGTTATGGGCTCGATCCCCAGTAGGGGGCATGCAGGAGGCAGCCGATCAATGATTCTCTTTCATCATTGATGTTTCTATCTCTCCCTCTCCCTTCCTCTCTGAAATCAATAAAAATATAATTATATATATATTTTTTGCCAATATATTTTATATTACTTTTTATTTTTTGCCAATCTGATGAAAAATAGGTATAATTTTGAATCATTCACACTGAACAGCTATTGTGTTGGCTATTGTCTTTTTTTTCCAATTGGACAATCTAAGGCAGTGGTTCTCAACCTTCTGGCCCTTTAAATACAGTTCCTCATATTGTGCCCAAACCATAAAATTATTTTCGTTGCTACTTCATAACTGTAATGTTGCTACTATTATGAATCGTAATGTAAATAATCTGATATACAGGATAGTCTTAGGCGACCCCTGTGAAATGGTCGTTCACCGCCAAAGGCGTCGCGACCCACAGGTTGGAAACCACTGATCTAAAGGAAAAGAGGTCAGAGCCCTTAAATAAATAGTCAGGTATTGCATGTTTCACTGGGTGAAAATCACTGCTATATTTTATTAAACCTGTTGAGGTCTTTCTAATGTGCAGATTATTACAGAAGTCACAGGCTCAAGGAGTGAGTATCTATAATAATAAAAGGGTAATATGCTAATTAGACCAGACGTCCTTCTGACGAAGCCGGGGCAGGAGAGAAGCAGCCCGGGTCCCAGGTGCCTGCCATTGGCCAGAGGGAAGCCGATGCGGGCAGGCAGGGGAAGGAAGGCCTACTCTTGCATGAATTTTTGTGCATTGCGCCTCTAGTTTTAGAATAAAAAGAAATCTGAGGGCAGAGTCACAAGTAATATCAATATTTAAAGATCAGGGAGAGAAGGAGGAATCAGCAAAAAACAACAACAACAACAAAAAAAACCCTGCGAAGAAACAGCCAGTAAAACTGGCATGAAAATAAGAGATCAGTAAAAATAAAGACAAGCAAATTAGGTGTTTTAAGGAGGAAATGATTAAGTGCTGACTGTAGAGGTAAACTAAGAATTGAAAAATGACCACTGGGTATAAAAACATGAATAACACGAAAATAAATTACTTGACTGGATAAAATATGTTTCAGCAGAATAGTGAAGATAAAAAGCCAACAGAGATAGAGTCAAAAGAAAAATAGAGGTATTGGAGAATATAACAACTCTTAAAAGCAATGCTACTATTAAAAAAATGAGTAAATTAATAAAGTTGTAGCTAGAAAGGGATGTGGTCACAAGGTAAGGTTTTTTAAAAAAAAAGTGAAAACCGGTTAGAAAGGAAAACATTGATAAAGCAAGAGCAAGGAGAGGCAGTGGTAAGAGATGTGTCCATGAGTAGCTACACGTAAATAGCGTATGAGTGAGTAGTGTAGCATTTGACATAGCACAGGGTTCCTCTCCACGAGAAGGAAGACAGTGTGTGTGGGTATAGAATAAAGTAGGTTGAGGGTGTGGAGGTGGAAACTTGTGGCCATTCTCTTTAGACAGCTGTCTTCAGCTGAGAGTAAAGTTGGGGAGCAGGTACTGGAGGTTTGAGGAGAAAGGAGAGAATATGACATAGACATTTAGGAGAGTCAATTGATTTAGTGAAATACACTAAGAAGCCACAGTAAGTATCCATTTGAGATTAGTGATAAAAAAAAAAAACACCTCAACTAAGACCAGTGTATATGATTATGTGTTTTCCTTCAGTTGCATTTAGCAACAGGGCACCAGTTCAGGAAAGAGGGAACATTGGATTTAACCATGTTATGAATTTCCAGGAAAAGCAACACAAGAGAAGAGGGAACAAGGGAGTCGAGGAGGATACCAGGGAATGATTATAATGATAGACTATGGAACCTAAGCTGGAGAAGGAAGAAACATAGACTCTTTAAGAGAAGGATGAAGAACAATGTAAAGAATTATTGGAGTTGAGGTGGCTCAGGGGCTGAAACTGGAAAATGGGGTGGCTGGAACTGAGATAATGTAGCAAATACAGTACAGGTAACAAGGAAGCTTCTTCATGTAAACATCAGTGCATGCTGCCTGGTGCGGCTTCCACTTACAGTCCTGGCACCTGTCCCCCGTGTGTTCAGGCGGGCAGTGGCAGTAAGGCTGGTTCCCAGCAGTCACACTGCAGGTCCCTTCGTTCTGACAAAAATCCTCACAGACCATCTTGCCACAGTTTGGTCCAGTGAACCCCAGCGCACAGCGGCAGGTGGGTCTCCCTATTGGAAAAAGGTAATAAAAAGGAAATTACTGAGCTGAATGGTTTATTTTCATGGAGTCTTCACTAGATAAGAATCAGGCCGCCAGAGTTTCCATCAAAGTTGGTCTCTTACTTAAATCTGTGACTTGAGGCAGTAATTTGACCTCTTTGGGTCTCAGTTTCCCAATGTTCCCATGATGCTTAGATTCGATAACTCAGGTTCACATCTGGCAAAATTAGCAGAGCTCATTTTATACATAATTATATATACATAGAAATATTTTATGCTTTAAAGTGCTTTCATTATTCTCTGTATTACTCTTTCCTGGCCCATTTTGCCTTTTCAATTATGTTTGCTCTACTCATGTGGTAATGCAGATTGTATTGGCCATTAGAGGATAAAGCAGAGAAAATTATATTTCCCCGTGTTGATTCATATACCAACTATTTCTGGATCTACATAAAATAGAGCTTAGACTTATTATAAATAAATATTTTAATAAATTTAAAGTGGACATGTCATCTATACTAATATTTATGAACGTTATTTTATTTGATTTAAATGCACATACTGTGTTTAGATATAAGCACTTACACAGTCCTATTTTATTTCATTTTGATATTTTTCTTCATAGTAAGGACTGTCACTTCTAGTCTGGTAAGATGATTTAGAAGTCTAATGTTAACAGTACACAATAGCAAATCTGATGGATCATCTTTAGATATTTTTCTTTATTTGCTCTGTGGGAACTAACATCGCAATGAAAGCTGAACAATCCTTTAAGGTGTTTTGAACATAACAGTTAACTGCTATATCAGGAATGAGTCTCTCTAACTGCCTGGACTGTCAAGAGCTGAGCAGAAAATTGAGTGCACAACTAGCTCTGTAGATGTGGTGAACAAAACAAAATTAAATTAATGGCTATCATTTGTAAGGGGGAAAGAATGAGGTTTAGAAATTGTACAAATATAAAATAATAACATCAAATAGCATAAGAAAGAAATTCAGTTATAGATCTCAATGAACTAGAACTCAGAAAATGACACAGGGTTGCTAACATCAGAGACTATCCAAAAATCTCTCACTTTTGTAGAAATAAAGCATAGTTAGAGTGGCCAGAAAAATGCATGAATGCAATGCTTGAGGCTTGAGGTATGAAAGTGATATGTTTTCTTTATTGCCATAGATTCTATATCCTACAATGAAGGACAATTCTATGTTTCTACTTTTTTTTTGAAAAGCATTCTTAGGTGAATAAAATGTCTCCAAATAAAATCTACCTGCATTTCCAAGAGAAGGAATAAATTGAAGTTTCACAATTTACTTATGTAGTTTACTTTGAAAGGGCTCCACACACTTAAACATGCTAGAAGCTATTGCTTCTCGATGAAGAAAATTATATACATTTTTATGTTGAGTAGTATTGCTTTAAAATTTATTTACAAATGACATTAATCTAGTGGCTAGATAAATTCCTATTAATAGGTTGATAAACAAGATAAATTTTATATACATTAAAAGCTGATTAACCTTGCATTTTTCATTACCAGAAAATGGCTTTAAAACTTGTAAAGATTTTTCTTATAATGGTAGAGAATTTTCTAGTTGTTGATTACATACCTAGAAAATGTCTTCACTTAAACAAAAATAGGTGAAACATAAAGACACAAACAATAGAATAAATGGTGGTAGGAAGATAAAGAAAATAGTTATTGTTGGAGCACAGTAACCAGGGGAAATGAAAACCCTGAACAAAAGAAGGGATATCTCTTCATCTACGAGAACCAGTGAATGACTTACAGAGAAATAAAAAATACAAACGGGAACACGAATGCACAGAAGTTAAATGTGAAACACACAGTACAGAAAATACAGAAGAAATTGATTGCATTAGAACAACTAGAACAAGTGCATACAGAGAACTGAAACATTGTAGATTTAAACTTTTCTACATTACTTTCCAGTTTATTATTCCTTGTTTTTTAAAATCAGGAGTGAAAAGAGTAAAATGATAGAAGTTTGAAAGAAACAAACACAGCCCGCTGCTAAGGCGCCTGCAAATCCCTCTATCCCCACCACTCAGAGACACAACACCCTGCTTTCATCTCATCTACAGCTGTTTGGAAAGTAAGGCAGTGACCAGGTTGTCTCCCGCCCCCGCCCCCCGCCCTCGCTGGCCTTTGCCTACATCATTTTGAGTCTGGCCGAATTATTTTTAAAAGGCTCCCATTCCTCTTCCTTTGAAGAGAAGATTTATTTTTGACAAGTAGAAATCTCTTCATATTCAGGGTGATGTTCTCTAACTTGAGAGAAACTAGGTGACGGTACAGCAGATCTTTTGTTTGCTGATGAGAAATGGACCATCTGTTGCAGAATTTTTTCATGGGCTCCATCTAATTTTTTCAAAACTCTCTCTGGGTACACCCTTACAAGTGGCACCGGGTTCATTTGGAAAGGTTTTTAGGTGGCTGGATTTGATTTTGACATTTGAAAAGGAAACAGCACAGTTACAATGACTAAGGCACAGCCGGGAGCTGGAGCGTTGACAGCCTTCAAGGGTAGCACAAGCAGGAAGAGCACCGATTGACCCGAGGAAGGAGGGTAGGAGCCATTTGCTAGCTCTGATAGTCTAGTTTCTATAGCATTTTTAGCTCAGACTGAGGAGTGTAGGTTGTCTGACTGTCAGTGTTTATAAACTATATGTGCCAATTACTGGTTGTGAGACCATGGGCAAATATCACCTCTCTGTTTATTTCCTTGTGTGTAAAAAGTGGATAGTAACAGTACCTACCTCATGAGTTATTGTGTAAAATTATATAGAATAAATGAGATAATATATGCAGTGCATTTTTAACCATGTTAGACGTATAGAAGGCACTGTTACATTTTAGGTAAGATTATTCTTATTTTACTGAGTGACATTCACCATTTATAGGCATGACTGACTGTGTCTACCAAGGTACTGTAACAATCTAGGAAAATTATTCTGAAAATGTTCTTCAGTTACACATTTTATGCCATTATTTATTTAAGATAAAATTAAATTTTAAATGTGTTTGCATTGTAGTGATGGGATAGAGCAGAAATTCTCCATTAACTTTATTCTCAGACTGCAACATTTCAAACTTTGAAGGATGGTTCCTTCTCCTTTACCTTCTAAATATGCTTAATCCTACTCACACAATACACACATAACAAAAAAGCACACCTAATCTTTGCCATGTGCTTCTACTTGTACATCTTCAAATTTTGGTACATCCTTGAACTTTTTCAAAAGAAATCTACACTCACTGCTTCCAATTCTACCAGTACATGACCAAACAACAACAACACACCAAAAACAAATAAACAAAAAAGGTCATAAAGTCACATTCCAATTCCTCACAGGGTTTACAGTTTTAATTTTTAAAAATATACAAAATAATGTGTCTTAATTGGTTACTTCTCTTTGTTTTCTCAATAGAGAGGTCAGATTTTTCAATATGTACATATTGCTCAAGTAAGTTAATTTTCATTACCTAGTGATAAGACAGGTTTAGAAATGAAAAAGTTAACATGTGGTGATGCCTTTACTATATATTTATGTACTATTGCAATGTTTACCTCAAATCTCTAAATCCATAAATCAATTAATTTATTCTCAATTATTACTGTCCTCAAATTTTCTTCATAATTTTATGCTGATTAACAGATACCCTTGAAAATTCTACCCACTTGGCCTCTAAGACACTATTATTATTGATTTCCCTATCTTTTTTTCTATTCTTTTTTAAAAATATCAATTGTCTTTATGTTTACTCTTTCTGTCTCTCAAAGAAATGTTATTCCAAACTCTCTCTGGTGATATTATCCAACATTATGGCTTCAATAATTATCTCTGTATCTGAATACCTCTGACCCAATTTTCTGATTATGGGCTCATTCTCCATACTAAACTTCAGACCATATTGTATATTGTATATCTCTCACTGCTCAGTAGGTTCAACTCCTCCCACAATCCCCAAGAGATAAAAATTTTGTCATGAACATTGTTCTCTGGGGATACACAATTTTTAATGCTATAACATTCGCTTTTACATATGCTACATTTTATATATTAACTATTTGAATTCTAATTTTATCTCAAAATTAGAATTATATTATAAATAACACTATATTGAACATTTTCACACCCAAATCCTATATAATGAAAGCCTAATATGCAAATTGTTCGACTGCTCACTATGACATGTGCTGACCACCAGGGTGTGGCATAGAACATGGCGAGCCTCGGTGACACAATGCTGGCAGCGGGCGGCAGTGGAGGTGCTGCCAGCCCCAATGGGCCCGACAAGAGCGGGACCACAGCGGGGTGGTGGAGTAGGTGAGCAGGCAGCACCAGGCCAAGGTGGGTGCGAGCGGGCACCCGATTGCCCTGCCGATCATCCTGCAGACAGCAACCAGTGGCGGTAGTGGGAGGTGGGGCCGTCACCGACTCCCAGGCATTGAGGGAGCCAGGCGAGGGGCCTGGCCCCGATTGATCGCCCCACAGGCGGGATGGTGGAGCAGGTGAGGGGGTGGCACCAGGCCACAGCGGGGTGCCAGGCAGGGGTGCAAGGCTGGGGGCATGAGCTGGGGCCCAATACCCACAGGCCACCCTGAGGGACCCCACCCATGCACAGATTTGTGTACTGGGCCTCTAGTATTGTACCAGTATAATCCTTAGGATATGTTTGTGATAGTGACATTATTAAGTGAAAACATTAAAACTTTGAAAGGTTTATACCATGAACATTTTCTTCTGGTAGTGACTTAAGAATGTTGATGTCATCTATGTCTAACTAGGCTCCTCCTCCACTTCCTCATTCTCAATTATTTTTCTCCCTATTTTCCTCTTTTCTTTTTTATATGTCTGTGTGCATGTATATGCAAGACTAGTCTTCTGCCATTGGCTCATTATGTCTCCTATTTTTTTCTACTTGATTTGTTATAGCTATAAAATCCTTTGTTACTTAGTTAATAATATGCAATGTTATTTT